TTCTTAGCTAAATTCTGTTTGGAGGGTCGAAAGGGGCATTTTCTCGACAATTTTGATCCTTCAAAATCCGAATTCTCCAATTGATGTGGGTTTTAAACAGTCACTTCCTACTTCAGAAAAACTAGGAGCTATGTGATTTTGTTTACTTTTTATCAGACTTTCAAATGAGATGTTACTCGACTGGCGAAGTCTCTCTTAAGTTTTTTGGTATTTAAACTATAGAAAACAATACTACTATTCAATAATATTACTATGATAAGGTAAGAGAGAAATATCTTTTGATACAGTATACATACACTGCATGTGCTGGAAGCACCAGAGTTCTTAAGATGAAAAAATTCTTATTTTTTAATTAATACACGTCATCTAAACTTGAAAATAAGTAAAACTACTCAGACAACGACGATTAACATCAAAATATTTTTTGATCAATCGAGTGCGCTTCTTAAACCTAGAATAATATAGAGGATTCGACAAGTTTTTATTAAAAATCTTTTCACTCTGTTTCACGCAAATAGCTAATTAGTTAAAAAGGTATCGTATTTAAAAAGTGAAAACAACATTTACTTAGAAAAACAAGTGATAGTGATTTGACACCGTTTAAACGCTCTGTTAATTGAACACATATGGTTTCTTTGAACTTTTCGTGCATTATGTTGAGTAGATGTACCCGTTCTCAAAGTCTCATTCTATAACTGTTACTATTATGGATTTCTATAAGACTTTTCTCGTTATTTCTTTTGTTTTATACGTTCCATTTTTATAGACACTGAATAAATGATTTATTTGTTTAAATGAAATATTTAGTTTTTTCAATTGAATTGAATAAGCACTAACCAGCCACAATAATCAAAGCTAAATTTCTACAGAATTTTTCTTCGATAATAGTTAAGAATATTTGATTTAAAACACGCCTAATAAAAACTGAAAAAAAAGCAGAAAAATAAAAAGTAAACAAGATAAATAACGATGAAAAAAAATGATCGTAACTGACTTTGAAAATACTAAACATATTATTTAGGTATTATTTGAAATATACAGACGATAGAACTTCGATAAAGTGAAATATTGATAGTGAGTTTAATCTTGTAGCAGTATAATTTTGCTTTTATAAACTAATCCTTTGTGTAGTCCTACTTCGAGACAGGATCTGGTCCATATAGATCTCGTTTTAGTTGTGAACAGCCATTAATGCTTTTGGCCCCGACTTTTTGTTCATGCTCTGCCTTGGTGTTGCTACTTTGTTTTTCTTTATTACTGTAGTTTTTGAATCTTCTAACGACTTTGCAGCTGTGTTTCTTTTGCCCGCTTTAGATTTTTGTTGAAGGTTTGTTGTTGTACGCTTTAACGGGACAATGTTGACACCAGTCTAGAACATATCATACTACGTTTGAATGAGTTAAACACATATTGTTGAAATAGGTAAGCTCACTACAATATCTGCCTAAGTGGATTATTACAAAGAATAGGTTGACAGGTGTGAATGTTGAGTAAGAATGGGCTCAGATAACACTTAAAGACATTAAAGTCCAACTAAACATACTTTGACGACTGTTTTCACTGGTAGTTTGGGTTGTTTGATAAGTGAATCAACTTTATCTTTATCTGATAAAGAGAGTGTTGTGTCTACTTGCTGTTGATTACTACTAGTACTTGCTGTTGATGGTAGTGGTGTTGGTTGTGAAAATGTATAATTAATTTTTTCAAATTCTTTCCATTCATCAGAAACGGATGTGAGCGTTTGCTGTTCAATTAGATCCAAATGTTCCATTGATTCACTGAACATGGTTATTAGTAGATCATTTGAAGCGTCGCCGCTCTTTGATAAACTTTTTTTAAATCCAGTTTTTGCTGACGTCGCTGTAACTGTTTTATGTCTATAAAAATAGCCAGCACTTGAGTATGCTTTAGGCGTATATCTATCTTCTAATAGATTCAAATGTTGACCATTTAAAATCTGCTCAACTGAATAAAGTTCTTTCTGTTTTCGTAATATTTGTTTGTATAATGTCAAATCTTCTTCGTTGGAGTCTAATGTTGTAATCATCTTCGCTCACAGTGAAAATATAACTTTAGAATAACAAAAATTGAACCGAATACATGTTACTGCCAGTCTCATTAATAATTAATAAAACTCATTATGTTTTAGTCGTTCCAGTTCTTTTAGTCCATTAATATATTTCTACGGAAAAAGAGAAAACTACATTTTACTTCTTTTTTTATGCATTTTCTCATTTTTCACAGATGAGTTGATTTAAATAAAAAATTTTCTACCTTGTACCAATTTAATTTGCTCAGACACGCTTGAAAAAAAGGAATAGTGTAGAATAGCATAATATCCAGCTCAAAAACAACTGGCATTTAATAGGACATAAATGGCTAACAACAGGGTTTCAATAAGCTTTTGATTGTAAAAAGATGGTCAGTTAACAGGCACCAGTCATTGTCCTTCATCTGACCTTTAATGATTGCCTAAAAACAAGCAATTAATTGTGTGTTAGTAAGGCTTAGATTTAGATAACCATTAAATGGCATTTTATTGCCCGTTTTATGACCGTTACATAAATAGACAAAAAACGAACATTTAACGTTTACCGTTTAATTCACCCTTTTGTTTCACTGACCTCGCTACTATATATCTCAAGTTTTCTCATAGAAAACATAGAGTTTTGTTCTTTCTCAACTATATAAGTCATCGAAGTTGGGTTGAGGAGGTAGCTACTGGGTGGTTCTAGGTATGGTATCGGTGATGGCACCGATCATACCTAAGAAATCGAAAATATTCAACAAGGATGGGGGCGATTATCTGATGAAAGCGGCCCATGCCTGAATTTCATCGACGAACCAAAGGCTAGATGTAGAATGAAGAGGGGAATATTTCTAGGTATTTACTAGACCGTAGAACCACTCTCAGAAAAAATTTGGTCAAATCAGATTTGATTAAGTTTCTACTGCATCTAATATATATTCTAGATAGTATTTTTGAATCTTTTCCTTACGACTATTATATTATCATTCGAAAGTTCTTTTTCTTCGCTAT